AATAAATAAACAATTTTTTTAAAAGTTAAAGTTAATATTCATACAAAAATGGTTACAACTTCTGCCAGGCATGATGGTGCATACTTGTAATCCCAGCACTCCTCAACACTCTGAAAAGACTGAAGTAGGAGGATCAGGGCTGGGGAGATAGCTCCGTAGAATAAACTGTTGCCTGGCAAGCGCAGGGTCCTGAGTTCAATCCCCGGTACCACAAAAAAGAAAAAGAAAACAAAAAACAGTGAAGCAGGAGGACTGCCTTGAGTTTGAGGAGAGCCTGGGCTACACAGTGAGACCTTATATCACTACTCCTGCCTCCAATGCTCTCAAAAAACTTTATTAGAGATTGTACAAAGTAACAGTATGTAGTTCTCTTGATATGGGAATAAATGCATCAGGTAGACTGTGGAACCACTTAATGAATGAATGAACAATAACTAGACTGCTAACAACTGAAACAGGGTAGTAAAGCATTGTTGATATACTCAAAAGGGTGATGCTGTACAATGATCTCAGAAGACAAAACTAATAGGGCCTTGGCTAAAGTTTACATTTACTTCTTGGCAGCAACTGGAAACATCTATTTATTTTAGCCACATATTTACTTTTAGAAGTTTCTGCCTGATTCTATCAAACTGCAACAGTGCCTGGACTTCTTATTCTCCTAATAACAGAGTAGTACAGAATATGAACTGAACATTAAGATTTATTTAGTAGTAAATGAACTTTTTTGTATTCTGCCTACTCTATTATAACTACCATCATCAAATATAATGTGCATCATGAATTACCCATTTCAAGAAAAAGTAAATGGGCCTCCTATTGTAAGTTCATCTAGCTAAGCTTCCTTAATGAAGGTTTATATTCCTGGCTAACAAATTTAGTAACTAACTCTGCTTAAGAGTTTATTAAAGGGATAGTGAGAGAGATTAATACTGAGAGTCACACTTGCTAATTCAAGGATATCCAGGTTCTAACTTTATACCTTCACCTAGCCAATAACTGTGCAAGTAACATGAACATCAGATATTCACAGATCAGATCAGATCTAGCCTATGGTAAAAATCTATATACTTCTTACACATTAGGGTACAATCTGTATCAGCATGGGAAACTAATAAAATACAGGTGACAACATCTTTCTCTTGATTCTGTGTGTTAAGTGCATGTCCAGTCTATTTTTCAGAGAATAGAATGAACTATTTTCCAACTATGCTTTAGAAGCTTATTTTTACTAATGTAACTACTTTTTTTTAAAAATTGTACAACTCAACAGTAAATATCCAGTTGAAAGCAGGCAACTACAGCTATATATTTGTGCTATGACATTACAGTACTTGCTCAATTTTGTTGTGTACCACTTACAATTTTCTTCATAAATGTATTCATTCTTCACACCCAAAATAGTCTTACAGAAGAAAAAAATGAGTATTCAAGATATGAGGGTACATTTCAACATTATTAGTTGGTTACTCTCTAAAAATATTCCACGATGGAAGCCAAAGAAAAGTTATATTATTATAAATTGGTTAAGAAGAAGATAAAGTTAGAAGTCTAAGACTGTTCAGTAAATTTTGATACAGGCTGAAAAAAGGTAGAAAACAGGATTATGAAAAGAACAATTATTAGAAAGAAAACAAATATGAAAAATATAAAAGTCAAACACTGGAAAAGAATATGGAGGCTAAAATGGAAGGTGAGAAATTCTATAACACTTGCAAATGTTTATGTAGTAACTAGACACATAAGCACACTCTACTTTAGAAAATAAAAGGGTTTTTTTGTGGAAACCAAGTATTTTCAAAATACCCTGAAAGCTTTTTTTTTTTGGCGGTACCAGGGATTGAACTCAGGCCCTTGAGCTTGCCAGGGAAGCGCTTATTCCACTGAGCCATCTCCCCGGCACCCCTGAAAGCTTTGAAAGCAATCACCAACCAACCAACCAACCAACCAACCAACCAACCAACCAACCAAAGCTAAAACCAAATCCTCCTCTAAGGCTTTTTTGAAAGTATACTTTATGTAATATAAACTGCCAATTCTAAACTTAACTGCTTTAAAATTCTGAGCTCTCTACCACAAATTTTTATAAAGGTGCACATGTAAAATGCCATTATTAGAAAAGGTCACTTAAAATTTGCTATTATATGGGAAAACAGTAACTCTCCAGGCAAAGTTCCAAAGATATACTTAGTATAGCTACATTTATACTTAATAACTAAGCATATACTATCCCTTTATCACCAAAGGTTGGTTAGAAAATAATTGGTAATTTTTCTTTATGTGACATCAAGCATAGATCCTTAAAAAATTCATTAGCAAAATAGCTTGTGTAGGTACACAAATACTTGTGATTTATTCTGCACTAAAAATTTTCTCTTTATTCTCAGTCCCCTAATATAGGTCTATTATTACGACAGAATCATTATCACAGTTCAGTAGTTTCATCTGCCGCAGAGAACAGACTGTAGAAAATAGACTAAGGTTGTCTACTGTATCTCAAAGAGCAGGAAAAATGGCTGGTTATTACAACAGAACGAACAGGACTTGTAAAGACCAAATAAATCATTTTGGAACTCACTGTTCAAGTAATTTAGGTCCAAGTTTTCTGAGCAGTGGCAAACACAGAGGCATAAGAAAGGACACTAAAGCAAATTATACAAGAGATACTTGAAAAAATTTAAAAATAAATAAACTGTATTACAATAAAAGGCACATTGCCAAGAATGATGGCAGATAAATGTATTTAAAGAGATAGACTATCCTGAGGGGGATTAATGGCAATATGCCTTTTATTGTAATCAGTTTTTACACTAAATATTTACCTATGTTTTGATTGCCCTTCACTGATTAAGCAATTGTGGCAATTTTTGTGAAATAAAAACATTATAGAGGGCCATCATCTAATTTATTCACCAGATCTGGTACCATTCAACTTCTGATTTTTTCCCCAATGTCAAAATGACCATGAAAGGTGTTAATCATTCAGAACATCCAGGCAGCTAATGACAGCATAAGTAAAAGACACTCATGAAGGGCTGGCCAGATAGCTCAGTGGATTAAAGTACCTGCTTAGGCATATGTAGGGACTGGGGTTTGATCCCCAGCATGCTGCGCTGGCCCTGTCCCTAGGGTGCACTGAGGTAGCAACTGACACTGGGCGTGGTATTGCACGCCTATACTCCCAGCACTTGGAAGGCTGAAAAACAGGAAGGATCACTACAAGTCTAATCTGTGTAGTGAGACCCTGTAGACCTTGTAGTAAAACTAAATACATTAAAAAGAAGAAGAAAAAAAAAAAAACAAAACAAAACCCCAAGACACTCATGAAAGAGGACTTCTCAAGAGTTGCTTCAAAAAGTGGAAAGAACTATGGGATAAGTGTGTTTGAAGCAAAGGGTAGTATTTTGAGAATTAGTGACAATACACAATAATTATTTCCTAAAAATTTAAACTTTGGAATTTTCTATTATACTTCACATATATACATATAATCACACACATATATTTCCTATAACCAAACAGCAGGAATCCTTAGCATATTAACAATTTTCCAAAAAACGAATTCACATTATAGCATGACATATACAACCAATCTGAATGGGTTTCTCTGTTCTATCCCACATTATCCCATGAAGATGACTTCACAGAAAATATCTTTAATTAGTTTGTCTTCATTTTAGTTATAACTTAACCTATTTTATTTTGTTTTGTGGTACCGGGGATTGAACTCAGGACCTTGTGCTTGCCAGGCAAGTGCTTATTCTACTGAGTTATCTCCCCAGCCCTATACTTTTATTTTTTAAATTGTATTTCCTATACTTTAACCTAGTTTAAAAAAAGAAAAACAGGGCTGGGGATATGGCTCAGTGGCAGCATTCTTGCCTTGAATGGACAAGTTCCTGGGTTTGATCCCCAACGCCACCACCCCCCCCCCAAAAAAAAAAGAAAAAGAAAAACAACTTCAAATAACCTGACAAGCAGTATACAACACTGGGTCAAAAAATGTTTATTTTTAAATTTTTTTTAACATTTTTTTTATCTCATTGTAACTTCTTTCTTGTTTTGTTTTCCTTTTTCTTGAGATAGGGTCTCACTATGTAGTTCAGCTAGCCTTGAACTTAGTGGGTAGCACAAGCTGGTCTTGAACTCATGGCAATCCTCCTGCCTCAGCCTCTCAAATGCTGGGATTACAGGTATATGCCACCACTCCTGGCAGTTAATTTCATTTTGAAAGAAAAAAAACTCACTACTCATTCATTGAAATGGTTTGAATTAAAATTAAGACCTATAGAAATAAAGGACTTATGATTTAGAGATTATAAACAAGTACTAAACTATACATTATAAAACTAACATAGTAACATATAGTAACATTTTTCAAAATTGTATCATTTTACATTATTACTGATGATCAGCTCTTAAATTTCCCAGCTCCATATTTTAATAAAAACATTTAAGCAAGCAATCAACAAATTAAAAGTTAAGCTAAAGAATTAAGTTTCCTATTTACTTGCAATTGTTATTTCAATTTATTATGAAATAGATACAGCTAGGAAATTTTACCTTTCATCTTAAAAATGAAAAACACTTCATACCTGGAGGTGCTATTTAAATATAGTGATATAAAGACACTAGGTCTGGTCAGAAATTGTTCTTCCACTAAAGAAACACAATATATTAGCATCTCAGTATTTTGAAGTTAACCACATTGGAAAGGAATATTATTTTAATATGTTCAACATAAAAATGCAACTTAATGCATCTCTTTTTCTCTTTCTCTGTCTGTCTCTGTCTGTCTGTCTGTCTGTCTGTCTGTCTGTCTGTCTGTCTCTCTCTCTCTCTCTCTGTCTGTCTGTCTGTCTGTCTGTCTGTCTGAGGCTCTAAATATGGAATCCTTCTCTTAAATTTTTGGTTTCTGAAATAAAGACACTTAGAACTCAACTCTCCACAAAAAGTTTAGTAAGAATTTAAACTAAAAATGCAGCATTTGCATCACATACCTTCTTGAGATGTCCTAGTCTAAGTTTGAAAATTTCTTCTTGTTCATGATATTCTGCCAAAGTCAACCTGTCAAAAGTAAAATTTTAATTCTATATTTTGATATTAATACTATTATTTCTTACGAACAACTAACAAAATAGGGTAAAATTGACCAAATGGACAGAAAATGCTGCCAATTTTAAGCCAAAATCTCTTTCACAATATTCTTTAGGATACTTTAGTACTTATAGATGGAGTAATTAGCCAAGCCAACAGCTATATGATAAATACCACACATCAAGTTATACTTCAGAATTTATATCCTAATGATAAAGAGAAAACAAGATAATCTCTCCTTACATTTTGGTTTGGGCTTACAATCAATAGTGGGGTTAAGAAAGTAAAAAAGAAACAACTTAATGACAGAGTAACTTTAAGTAATAGTAAGTGTTATAAAGACAAAAAGGGTGGTATGATAATGGCTATTATTGCTAATTTGACCTGGTGGTTGAACAATTGTAAGAAGACTTGGGAGAGCCAACATTCTAAAATTGAAACACTCAGCATTTATGAAAAGAAAACAAGTGAAAATGTAGGGAATGGAGAAAACAAGACTATTTTGAAATTTTCAAAACAACTAGGCATTAATAAAGGGAATATCTTCAATATCATAAAGGGTATTAAAAAAAAAAGATAACTGATAGCAAACTTAATGGTGAAAGACTGAAGATTTCTCTTTAAAATCAGGAATGAAACGAGCACATCCACTTTAATACAACTGCTATTCAATACTGTCCTGTAAGTCCTACCAGAGCATTCAGGTAAGGGGGGGGGGATGCATCCAAACTGTAAGGGAAAAATGCAAAACTATCTGTATTAACAGATGACATGATGCTTTATGTAAAATCCCAAAGAATACACAGGGGGAAAAAATACTAGTTAATAAACTCAGTAAAGATAGAGGTTGGGATCACCATACAACAGTATATGTTTCTGTATACCAGAAATGAACAACCTATAAAGGATATTAAGAAAAAAAATCCATCTATGATAGTGTGCAAATGAATAAAACACTGAGGAATAAATTTAATCCAGGAATTGAAAGGCTTGTATAGAGAAAATTATAAAATACTATATACTGCTCAAGAAATTAAAAGCTGTAATAATTAAATTAAAAGTTATCCTATGTGCATGAATTCAAAGATTTAATATTGTGAGGGCAATACTCCAATACTCCCTAAAATGAAAAATAAATAATTAAAATTTATATTACTTGTACTTTATTTGAGAGAGAGAGTTAGAAACAGCTCAGTGGCACAAGCACTTGTCTAGCAAGCACAAGGTCCTAAGTTCAATTCCTAGCATAAATACATTGAGAGAGAGTGAGAGAGAAAGAGAGAGAAAGAGAGAGAGA